AAACCAGTCTTCTTTTTTCTAGACTGCTATCATGTGAGAAAAAATAGCCACTAATTCCTTGTATCTTCTACTCTGCTATCTTCAAATACCCTGAATCACTATAAGTATCTTAGGTGATTTAGTTAATTCTGAACATTAAAATATGCTGAAGGACATCTAGTTGGTAATTGTGGCTGAACTTCTCTACATGTGACAGTTTGCCTTCATCTCATAAGATCACTACCTTCTGCTGCAATCATATTTCACATGAAGGAAATGCCCCTTCGCCTCCTTTAGTGTGCAAAACAAATATCCTTTTATTCCCCAGGAAAGTCAGAACTGCAGAGCATTGTTTTAATCTGCAATATCAATGCTGCTCCATCATGAGAATGTTATGTCTGACATCTCCAAATAGTAGCTCGAAAGTTCCAACTACTGATAGCCTCAAATGGCTTTCAGGCAGGACTCTCAGTTCCCTACTGCAGGTTTTAGAAACGTGCCCCTTGGCAAATAAATAAATAAAGCAGGATACAATGATTCCTTTGGTGGCTGTACTTTGAAATAAATACCTTCCTTAAATATCTTAAGGGCTGTCACATGGAAGATGGAGCAAGGCTTGTTTTCCTCTGCTGCAGAGGTTAGGACCTGAACCATGAACCAATGGATTCAAGTTATAAGAAAGACGATTCTGACTAAACGTTAGGAAGAACTTTCTGACAGTAAGAGCTGTTCAATAATGGAATGGACTCCCTCGGAAGGTGGTGGACTCTCCTTCCCTGGTGGTTTTTAAACAGAGGTGGATGGCCACCTGTCAGGGATGCTTTAGTTGTGATTTCTGCATTGCAGGGGTTGGACTAGATGACCCTTGGATTCTAATTTTAAAGCTTAGCATGATAGAAAGTGGTGGGGAGAGAAAAATTATGAGTGACCCCTCCTTTGTTTTTTTCTTTGTGTCCTTCAAAGGAAGCACACACAACATACTAAGTCTCCCTAAGCTTTCCCCCACTTTAATATCACCTTTGGAAGTGGCTGAAGTATAATTTTTGCATCAGTGGGCAATTTCAAGCATTTTTCAACACACATTTTTCATTTCTCCCCATAATCATTGCACAACATAGTCATACTTTTATATAAATGGGATGCCTCTATGCTGGTTTTAGAATTACAAGAGGGTGCAGATGTGTGAGGTATTCACCTTAGCAAGCTAGATGGTAACCAGATAAGGTTTATTCTTATTTTTAACTAAGTTAGTGAATGCTGCAGTACTGGCGAGAGCTTTCTAGTTAGGAGGTCCTCTTGCACTGAATATGGGTTTTGCTTAGCATCTTGTTAGTTTCCAAGCACGTCTCAGTTCAGCCAGCGACATCTGAAGTTAAATTGTGCATAGGAAATGGTAAATTGATTCTCTTTTAGGACAAAGCTTCATTGAGCATGTACAGGAACAGCCTATGATCATTTAGCGCACAGGCTGGGATTTCCTCGCATGGATGCAGCCACCCTTACAAACAAGCAATAAGGCCACAGATTTGAGCACACAGGTCTCATAGAAAGAAGCAATCTGAAAATAACTGTTCACTTGAGTTACGCTAAGAATGATATGCCAACAAACCTCTGCTAGACTAGTCCTTCTGAAATAATGAAATCTAATGATTTGCTAACAGGAATTCCAATTTTATACCCAGAGCGAGGAAATCCATGTCATAATCAGAACAAGCTCATTCTTTTAATTCCCGTTTGGAAAAGCTGCTTCTGGTCCTAGATATACAAATCAGTACACACCAGTAAAGGATCGCTGTAAAAAGAAAAAGAGCAGGGTTCTTACCTGATCTGGGGAGGGTTTATGGTTAGTTTGGTTGGAATGAGATGACGATTTGAGGTGATCATCCTCATAGTTATCTGCCATCAATTTCATGCGATTTTGAGTCTGCAAAAGAGACATAAGAATACTGAGTTTTCAGGGTTTTATTTATAAAAGAGATGGATACAATGTATTAAATATAACAAGAGAACTGGAGTATAAATTTCCTATTATATACAGATAATCATATGAAATAATATCTAATTCCAATTTCAAGTGATCTAAGGAAAAACCATTTTTGTATGGACAAGCCATTTCACATACCTGCTAAAAGCAAATCACTGATAAAAAAATTAAACTATAAGAATATGGTAGTATTATATAAAATTACCTTTCCTATCACTTTATTGATGAAACCTGCTTGGTGGGATTAGGTAGGTTTAGACTTATTGGTACAGAGAACGTGTAATAAATGTGTGATCAGGAAAACAAATTAAGATGACAGTAATGGGTTTTTTTTATTAAATAAAAAGATGACAGTAATATTGAATCAGGAACACAAATATAACCCAATGCCTAGTATTCTATTAAGTCAATTCCCCACAAACTTACAAACTTTTAAGACTCTTTCTGGTTCGACACAAGAGATGCTCAAAGGTAAAATAAGCAAAACAGAATATTAGCATATGGAGATGGATCCCTTTTTTGCAGGCCTTGTGCCAAGTCACCAAGATGTTAAGACTTTTAAAAGGTATTTGAAATGTATGTAAGGCCAGAAGAAGCCCTGGAGGGTGAATGACCTAGCAAAGAGGAAGCAAAATGGAAAGGGCAGCTAATATGGTAAGGACAAGAGGCTGCTCATGGGCCTAACAGGCCAGAACCCCCAAGTGGGAGGAATAAAGTCCAGGGTTTTCTGGCAGGAAGTATTTGTTTGTTGGGTGGAGGGACAGTGGGGGCGGGATGAAGAGGAAGAACCACCAAATCCTAGGACTAAGATCTGATATCAGAGAGTAAAGATGCCACATCTAAATGCCAGTTGCTAGGTAGTGGTGTTGAACTCAGGAGCACACATGCGGGTGGGGAAGGAGGTGGCTAACTGGATGTGGGAGGGGGCTGCATGTTTTCCGGCATCTGTCCACGCTCCCCATTCACCCTGGCGAGTCCCAGGGCTTCTGTCTCCACTTTGGGCAGCATGACAAAGCGGCAGCTGTGAGCCGGTCGGGGCGGTGCTGCCTGCGAGCCCTGGCATGGCGGCACCAGGATGCAGCAGCAGCACTGGAGTGTGGAGAGGAGGAAAAGGCGGCTGCTCTTGGCTGTGCTCCTAGCCACTGGACGCTGAGCTGGGCAGGCTGGAGCCTGCGTGCAGTCCAAGTGCCCCAATACCCCACTCGGGAATGCAGCCCCCACACTGCCTCACCTGGACCTCGCTTGGGGTTGGGCTTGGGTTGGGGGAGGGAGGGAAGGCAAGGGGGCAGGAAGGTCAACCTGCCCAGCATACTTCTCCCCCCACAAACACCGCCTCTCTGCACGCTGGGGGAGAGTCGCCAACTTCCTAGTCTCCCTACTCCGGAGTCACTTACATTCCGAGGAGCCGCCCAACTCCCAGCAGAGGAAAGGGAAGGGAAGGAAGCAGCGGCAGTCACTGCTGGGGCCAAGCCACTTGCTCTAAACGGAACTGTGCACTCAAATTGGAGCGTGTTCGGCTTCCGAAAAAAGTTTGAAAACCAGAACACTCATTACCGGGTTTGAAGTGCTTGGGTTCCAAGTAGTTTGAGAACTAAGCTGTTTGAAAACCGAGGTACCACTGTATGTGTCTATTGTGAAGGCTCCTGGAGTCTAACATAGTAATCATCAGAAGTGATGTGTTCTTTTGATCTTGAATTACAGCTTGTTGCATCACCAGCCACTTAAGCATTGTGAAATAAAAACAGCACTGTGATAAACATTCTCAGACTTCAGTCCTTGTTTACAGAGCTGGGAAAAACACCTGCCCTACCTTTTGCCTTAAACTCTTAGATGTGGTGGTATAACGTCCAAAATCACACACCACACATCTCCAAAGGGGTTAGCCATGAGCAATTCTTTTAAAACAGATGCAGCTGGGAAAAAGCCCAAGCGACTTTACATTAAATGTAGGAATGTGATATTTCACGCTCTTGCAAAATATGTGACTGGAATGGTGATGTGGGAAATAATTCTGGCCATCATTGTTTAGAAAACTGTTCAAGAGGGCTCCAGAACACTATAAGGAAACATGAGAACTATTTTACTGGAAGTCCCAACTTGTGGCATGACACAAACATCAAGTAATTTCAGTCTCAAAACCTAGAATCCAAAGGCTAACACACAAATATATTTATAAACAAAGGAAAGAAGCAATATATAACTTTGAATGGAGTATTTGCTGTTTTATTAATTTATGCTAACCGGTCAATAACAATGTTACAATGGAAAATAAAAGTTACAAGGATACCTAAAACTCGTGATTGTTTTGAGAAACCAGATGTTACTTATTTTTATAAACTGTACTGTGCCATCTCAGACAGCAGCCCCCTAGATCTCCAGGAGGAGAGACACCACCCAATGCATTTTTCCAAGCAATTTCTCATTGGGAAAAAAAAGTTCAGTAAGGGTGACAAAACTCACCCATTCTCCAAATTGCATTATTGCCTTGAAATTGGAAACACCCAGTCAATCAGGACAGTATTATTTGCCACAATGTGCACAAACTGTCTTATTCCAGACCAACACCCAGCAATAATCCAGAGCACACACACTTTAAAACACTTTCCTTAAGTTTACTCTGACTGGTGACCCTGGAATATTCAGAATTCATTCAGGATGCTTTCATCGTCTCACATTGCTCCTGCCGTTCTGTTCTGAGAGACAGGAGCTTAGCCAACACGCCACTTTAGAGACTGGATGGGAAGCAGCAGAAGGAGCAGGGGCAGGGAACCATGATAAGATGATTTGGTTTCTACACTGTGGAAAAAATGACTTCATTTTTTTTTGCAGGGCAGCACGCCTTACTCCCTTTCTGCCTCCACTCAGCCTCTAACATTGCTTGCTTCCCCCTAACCCTTCTTAACCTGTTTATTCTCCCTCCCAGTCTCTACCCTGACTATTTCTATCCCATTCACCCCTTGTCGACTTCTTCTCCCTATGCATCAAGCCTGTCTATGTGCCCCCTGTGTTTTGCCTACTGTGACCCTAGCTCCACCTGCTGTTAGATGCCTTGCCCTGCCCTTCACCCTAGCAGCAGCAGTGGGCAGCCTATGTTTTATAGCAGGATAAGTCTTTGTTGGTTTTATGCACAAAATATCACATTTTAAACCTTGTAAAATTGCTAGGATGCTTTCTTGTCTTCTTTTTTTAAATAAACTGCTGAAGTAAGGGTCTCTAAAAGACACATGGCAAGAAGATCTAAACAGAACTAAAATTAATGATGTGTCAGTAAAGTTGTCTATAATTTCAATTTCCTCATCTGGATTTTCTAGCACTAAGTAAATTACTTTAATGAAAATAGGCAATTTGGATCGAAAACATGAGTTATTCTGCCAACTGTACTGAAAAGTACAAGCTCAACTCTCAGGTAGAAGTTATAAGATACAGTTCAGCTGTCAAACATACTTCAGTGATAGGCAGCATATACAAAAATATGGGCCAGTGCTGCAGCTACACTGCCGTGTATCTAAATTTACATCTAATATGAGGTAAAGCAATAATGTAAGAAGAGAACAAAAAATTATAGTAATTGCTTAATAGGCACCTAAGGAATATCATCTGTGCTAAGGTACTGAAGGGAGCTGGGGAATTCATGATTAAAATATATAAATCTCAGTTCAATTACACCTCCACTGGATAGTTTATTTATTTATTTATTTATTTCTATTTATTTATTTGAAGTACTTACAGGCTGCCTTACAAGGCAAATCCTCTGTAAGGCAGCTTATGAAATATAATTAGCTTCATATACATACTAGGAACATTGTGCTTCCAAATTATGTACAATACAATTTATGTACAATGCTTTTAGTTTTCACCCATCCAGGTGCAGACTTTGGTAATATGGTGCCCTAAGCAAGAACAAACGTTTGGTGCTTAAAAAAAAAAGGGTATTAAAAATATATTAGTAGTAGTATTTTGCACTCCCTTGGCTCAGTGCCCGGGGGGTGGGGGGTGGGATCACCTGCACCACCCTAAATCAGGTGCTGCACCCATCACCCTGTGATCCATTCTGCTGTGCCTATCCACCAAAGCTGTTTCCAGCCTATATACCAATTTCCCTAACCCTGGTTTTGTCTCATCAACAACAGATGTTAACAGGGACTATCAGCTGGAACTGCCTCTAGGCCTGATGGAAGAGTGCTGGATGCTCCTTCCTCTGCACAGTTTGGAACAAGCCACTTCAAACACAGTTTATCATCCATGCAGCTGATGAGCTATGTGTGGACTGGACTGTCCCAAGAACCTAGGGCTCATCCAGACTTTCTTTGGCGCTGAGCTTTCCAGGCAACTTTAAAACCTGGAGATGTCTAGAAAAATGGCACAAAAGGAAGCCTGGATGAGCCCTTAAGTTTTGCTTCTTGTGACTACAAAAACAGTGGGTTTATTAAATACCTTACAGGCAAAATACATGTACATTTGGTTCAGCGCACCACAAGTTTGGTTCAGGTCAAGATTTACCATCCATTTGTAAAATAAAGGTAAAATGACCCCTGACCATTAGGTCCAGTCGTGACCGACTCTGGGGTTGTGGTGCTCATCTCGCTTTATTGGCCAAGGGAGCTGGCATACAGCTTCCGGGTCATGTGGCCAGCATGACTAAGCCGCTTCTGGCGAACCAGAGCAGCGCACAGAAACGCCGTTTACCTTTCTGCTGGAGCGGTCCCTATTTATCTACTTGCACTTTGGCGTGCTTTCAAACTGCTAGGTTGGCAGGAGCTGGGACCGAGCAACGGGAGCTCACCCCGTCACAGGGATTCAAACCGCCGACCTTCTAATCGGCAAGTCCTAGGCTCTGTGGTTTAACCCACAGCGCCACCCATGTCCCTAATATTTGTAAAATAGAATCACATTAACCAACATTCCAGTTTATGGAAGTTATGAAGGGTTTCATTCCAGTT